AAATTCTTTTAGTCAGGGTTGGCATGCACAATTTTTCACACACTGCTCATTTGCAGTCACTTGACATAATATGGTTTTTCTTGAAACTGCCGATTAAAAAAGAATTTGAAGTACGTAAACCACAGTAGATATATATTTTAGAGGAAATCTGTTCTCATTTTTTCGTCACTAATATCAAAAGAGAAACAATCGCTACTCATTACGACTTTCAATGTAAAAACTATTTGATGGAAATTCAAATATTGAAATTTAATTTTTTAAATTTAGACACTACAGTGAACTATGATGCTTTTCAATAATTTGCTAAAAGTTAAACCAAGTTTCATGAACTCATTGAAAATTTATTAACAAAAGAGCAATTCGAGCGAAAAGATGAGCATGCAAACCCTGCTCTTAGTGCATAGTGAGATTTACCAAATTTCATTCAAATTTTGGTTCAAATCGGTCCACAAACAGGAAAAGAACTGTTTCTAAATACGTCATGGCAATTAGACACACATTGATTCCATCTCATAAAACACTGAAAAGCAACTTCCCTTACAGTGAATTGATCAGATCAGATATTCTTGAGTAAAAACGTAGCCAGTTTCCATGTAATCAACAGTAGTATATACTAATTTCATTATTATTATATCCAAGTGTACTCCTAATAGCTACGATACATTTATATATCTTAAGACATTTAAACTAAATTTATGTTATTGGCCCAAAAACATGTTTTCCTTAATACAGGATTCGTTTTTTTTTTTTTTTTTTTTGACGCAGGACTATATCTGTGATTTCTATATGAGGGTACACTTTGTGAAAACCGAAAATGGAACATGTAACAAAATTATGAAAGATTTTGAACATTAATAACTCAGCTGCCCCTGGACCAATTTCAATAATTGTATCACCAATCGATCAGAAATATTTCTACGCATCAACAATGCTTTTAACTGATGGTTTTCAACAAAAAACTATTGAAAAAGTGGTAATGTCAAGCATAGTCCAATGTAAAAATAATAAGAGATAATTGTATAACTATTTTCATGAAATTAACGTTCTTCCCAAACCCAGTCGTCATAATCGAGTACCACTTGGTTGCTTTAACCTGAAAAGATATAAATGAGCGCTGCTGTTTAGCCTCATCTCATCTTCAACAAATGTTTGGAGCTTGGCTACTTCCCTGCATGCTGGAAGTCAGCCACAGACCCTTCTACTTTTTGTTTCTATGATCTTAAAATATTTTCAGGACTTGATTTTCCTAATGGAACCCTTTACAGGACTTCTTTAAAAATTCCAATAAAATAACCCCAAATCTTTCGCATATTTCACATATGTTATAGAATAGGTAGTTTCAAACTTTCTCAGTCAAGTAGTCCATTTAGATAATCATAATAATTGAAATATTGTTATTGTTATTGTTATTGCTCAGTTCACACCCTGGCAGGCTGCTGCCTACCGATCTGCATTTAAGCCAGGCATGAACCTACGGAAATTTAGTCGTGGCCTATGCTAGACCGTATAGCATAACGACTTTCCTTTCACTAGCAGGCTTTTTGGTCCCACTAGCGTCCGTTTAGAGGATTGTAAGAGATTAAAAAAATAAAGAAGAGAGATAGAAGATTTTGTTGTCTTGCTAAAAAAAAAAAAAACACGCTTTCATTCCGTTCCAAAGGGCAACGTCCATCGTCGTCATACTCAAATACCTGGGAACCTCCAGAGGTGCACAGGGCCAACCTGAAAGACTTCCATTCTGGGCAGCTGCTTGACCTGGTCCCAGGTCTAATTCCTATCGGCTTGCTTAATTTCCTTGTATTTGCCTTTGCTGCGATGTTCAGGCGGATTTAATGCATAATCAAACGCTTGCCTGCAAACTTCTTTTCTATTACTATCGGCTTCTGATGACATTTACATCTGAGATTGCGGTTGATGAGACCTGCAGCTTTTGAGTGTTCTCCACTGGTGCTGCACATATTCCACGTTTTAATCGAAGTTTCGAATTTTGGTAAGTTGACCAATTTGATGTGATCTCCGTTTTTGTGTAAATGTCATATTACAACCGACCTTATTACCATCACCCTAGTGTGTGACATCAGGTGTACGCTCCTCTGTGTTTTCGTTACCAATGCAGTCAATTTGACACGTTTGTCGCATTCCCGTATGTCTCAATATTATTCTTGCTGAACCACCGTCAAACCCACTATCCAGAGGTAGCGAACCCCCTTAACACTTGAAATTATACAAAAACAAATTAAACATTAGCACCAACCCCCCCCCCCCCCCTCCCCTTCCTCGATTGCAACAGCTCCAAGCCATGCAACAGGATCATTTCGTGCCCCATGACAACTTGATCCAGTTACTTCCAGGTTCATTGTTTTGGTGTCAGCCGGGAGAGACTTGGTCCTGTACCAAATGCTTTTCTTGTCTTCATTCCGCTCAGCTACTCGCAATTGATTGTGAATATTAGTGGGCGGAATATTACAATGTGAGACAATTCAATGCAGACGTCTTCCAAATTTGGCCGATTGTCAGGTTACCACCTGGCACCTCTTAGCAAGCACTATGCTACGAAGCGGACCGGAAGTTTCAATGAACAACCTCCCCCATAATCAAAATAACTGAAATATATTTCATAAGTCAAACCGATATGAATCTGATTTTTAAGGACATTTTAATATTGCACATCTTTGACAGATAAATATTTATTAAATGAAACTTGCTGCAGTTAGTGGAATTTCAGATAAAAACCATTTCGTTAAATACCTTTCATTTAGCGAACAAACAACTGTTTTCATTCAGTTGCGTTCCCCAACGCGCATGTCTCAACCACTGATTATTTCGAATACTTTAAAACGCGCAGCAAATTTAGTTTGAATAAAATTATTTGTATACAAAACCACATCTGCTTCGGTGAATGAGATGCTGTTAGCACTTCAAATAAAATATTGCTTGACATGTTTGATTTTTCCACAATAAATATAAACTGATCACGTGTTGTTGAATTTTAGCTTCTATAATTTTAAGATCGACTAGACTTGAAGCTGCAGTTAATCTCGAATCCTTCAAAGTATCGATTCAGTCGAGAAGTTCCTCTTTCCCGTCAACAGGCGATCCGAAGCGTGTTGTTGTTATCAATCAGCCACAACGAGTGATTGTCCAGTGACCAATAGGAAAGCAACTTGAAACGACAGTAGTTTTTCTTCGTCGATTTTTGTCTGCTCATTAGACTGGTGCAAATTCTAAAATTTTCGCTGATGAGTGCTCAAATGATTTCAAAGCAGGTTCTGATTAGACTCCCAATTGTTGAACTAATTTGGTTAGAAGGCAGCCAAGGAAATCAAGTGATGGGTTGATTGAGCATGTCTGATGAATGCCAACGCATATCATATTTAATAATGGTCTTCAGCAAAGGAGCAATTCCGCGCTAAATGACGAATCGGAAAAACTCGACCTTCTCCGATTTGAATGAAACTTTGCATAATTGTTTGTAATAGGCAATTATTCTCATTTTTAAAAATGGAAGCACGAAAACGGCACTTCTGATTAAAATAAGGTCCACGACAAAATTGTAGAGAAAAATAATGTTTTTCTCTGAAAAAAGCTAACATTTAAAAATCTAAATATCTCAAAATGTCCTTGCCGATTTTAATTTTAATCACATAAAAAATGCAAACTTTTGGAATAGTTAAAACTATGGACACTTAAAAATAGTCAAAAATCGTAGAACTTTTTGTTTAAACGTTCGTTCATGAAATTTAAACTCAGAAAACAACGCTTGAGACATTTTAACTTATTTTCTGTGAAAAAAAAACACACACACCAAAGCATGCTAACAAACAGTACAAATTGGACCCAAGCTTCTTGTTCTACGATTTTTGATGATTTTCAAGCATCCATGGTTTTTCCCATCCAAAAGTTTGCATTGTACATAATCAATCTCATGAAAAAATAAATCAAACGTTGGGCATACCATTTTGAGATATTAGTTAAAACCCTATATATTAGTTAAAACATATTATTCTTAATTTTTACTCAAATTATTGTGGTTTCTATGAACATTTATATTTTCTCGACGAAATGTGGAAACTGCCAAAATATTCGGTGCCGTTTGAAACTCTTACCATTTCAGCGTTTCCTTGTCGTTTTCACGCGGAAAAAGGTTCATCAGTTGGATTTGTTTTGTAAACATTACCAGCTATAACCTCTAGAACAAAGGGGTCAAAAGTAAACATATGGAAGAGAATTAACCAGCTGGTTTGGAACAAAGGAGTCAAAAGTAAACATCAGAAGAAATGTCATGGGAGCCAAGCGTTATATATGTTCCAAGGTAATCCCACCTTGGAACATATATAACGCTTGGCTCCCATGACATTTCTTCTGATGTTTACTTTTGACTCCTTTGTTCCAAACCAGCTGGTTAATTCCGGTGCGAGCGAAATCGAAAGCGAAATTTGAGAACGATGATATTAAAATCATTCAAGTCTAAATGAAGAAAAACTTCGCAATAGATAAAAACATTTTTTGATTATTTTTTTTTTTTCGAGAAGGACATTATTTTTCTGTACAACTTTATCAAAGACGTCATTTCGATCAGAAGTTCCGTTTCCGTATTACATTTTTTTGAAAAATTTCAAGATCGAAAATAGCCGAGTTTTAACAAAAATGTGAATTATTGCCCATAACAAATACTTACGCAAAGTTTTATACAATTAAATTTTGTTTCGCTATTTTGCCTGGAACTGCTCAAAGTTGTTGCTGAGAAAACATTCCTACAAGTGCTACAATCAGAGCTGCATGGTGAATGCCTAAGTAGATGAACTTGAATCAAAAGCTTGTTTTCCTCAATTAGTGATAAGTTAAAATTTTGTGAAGATGACCAGGACCCGACTTGGAACCACTGCAGAGCAAAAATTACGAAATCTGCATCAGTCTACTCCCCATCACTCTGTTAGAAGCAGGAACAGATAACAGACCCAACCGGCTTACTTAAATGATTACACCGAGCCGGTCCCGATCAGTTCCCGGCTAGAGTCGATCGTGACCGTTTGGTTTAGTGTTTGAGCTCCGGTTTAATTTTATTGAAAATACGTGCAAGAAGAAGAAGAAGAAGTTAACTGTTTGTTGCCAAGGAGTGTTTGTTTTGCCAACTCTAGACAGCTGCAAAACTTGACTGTTAAACTACGGAATAACAGAAAATATTTGTACACTATCAAGATGTACGCTAGGCAGGACTCGTTAGGGGTAGGTAGACTGTTGTTCCTATCACCGTGGGAATTGTGGAAAAGAGATCAGTTAAAAATATGTTTGTGAGGCGATGTGCATATTAATTAAATATTTGTTAAGAGCCGTCTGTGTCAAAAATAACTTTAACATAGAAATGTACTGAACAAATCGTGTTTAAAAACTTTAAAGACCAGAACCCTATTCAAGTCTCTAAAACAGTTTAGTTGACTGTCAGTTATACAAACCGTGCTAACTAAAACAACGTCTAACTATGCTATCTAGCGGCGCCGGTGGTGTAGTGGTAAGCGTGATTACCTCTCACCCCAGCAGGCCTGGGTTCAATTCCAGTCGTCGCCGCCGGGATGTTCTGAGGCAGAACATCTCTGATCACGCCTTCCTTCGGATGGGAAGTAAAGCCGTTGGTCCCCGGTTCATGAGTTGATGATGGGTCGAGAGGTAATGTCCAGGAGTGAGAGCTGCCTCTCTGGCGTCGGTAGCATTGGTGCTCAGCACGGAAAACAAGATCGACGGAAAACAAATCAGGGAACAAAAAAAAAAACTATGCTATCTGTTCCTCAACGACTGCCACGTGTTTACGCTATGCTGGAATGTAAATATTTAGCCAATAATTTAGAGAGCAATAGTACAAATTCACCTTTGAGTCGGTCAACACTGAAGCCATTTGTGTCGTGGTGCAGTGTGGTTGTTGATAAACCATATTCCCACACGCACCCCATCGTCTTCTACTGAGTATTCTACCTCAACTATTGACTGCAAGATGAATCAATCAACACAGTCACGACGATTAACGTTATCATCCTCTGAGACCTCTGTACTAAATATGTTCTTATAAGTATAAACAGTAGCGATACCCACTAAGTATAATTACAGTCACCCAAGCGAGACAAAGAGGAGACTATAGGCATGAATGATTGCGCTCAATAAGCTCTGCGTTCTATTCTACTCAATATGTTGATGATGATTGACGCCACTAAGTTGTCATTGATTACATGGATGTTAAGAACAACTTTGTTGTTTGATGTAGTTAGCTCTGCAGAACAAAGTAATCATCGTGCTTTGTTCGTATACAATAATGTTGTTTTTCGATGAAGATTGAAGTAAAGGTGTGGCAAACCATGCCAAAGACGAGGGTTCGATTTACGATCTGGTCCTATGAAACATCCAGTTGCATGTGCTTGACTGTTCAGTATGTTATTAGGCAACATTTCAGCTTTATTTTCGAAAATTTTCAGCCGAAAATAATAATTTTACCGCTGTTGGCAGCCCTGCAACTATGCAGGTAATGTTTTTGTCACTTGCGGGACAGTGTTGTCAGCACTGAAACATCGGAGAAAAAAATTAGTGTTTTGAATTCTTCATTAACATATCTAAAATCAACCAAAATGGCGACGTTCGAAAAAAAAGGTAAAATTTTTCTTTGAAAAATCGCTACTGAAATGCGCGAACCAAATCGAAAAGTTAGTAGATCCGAAAAATCCTATGTTCGATTTTAGATAATTCGTTTTTACATCGCGGACAGAAGAATCAGCTAAATTGATTGAATAGTCTTCGAGATCCCTGTCTCACAAGGCTAAAAAATATGGTGTCGAGAAAAACACGTTTACAGATTTGAGTTGTATTTAAGTCCCCTAATTCAAGGTTCCCTATTTCTCGCTGTATCTTCGTAACGACTTTGTGTAACGAACTGGCATTTTGACACAACACTCTAGGGTGCCGAAAAAGCAAAAAAAAATGTAAGTTGTCCCCAAGGGGTAGGTCACCAATCTTGGGTCATCTTTTTTGTCAGTGTGCCGCAGGTTTGCCGATTGTGCCGGTCATAAAGCAAGCTGCGATTGTTTGTAAAATACCCATGCCGGTAAGCCGGTATTTCTGACACCTTGAATGTTTTGGTTTGAAATCACAATAAATCAAATTGAGGATGACGCGGGAAGTTGCGGGTGTTGGTGTTTGATGTTCATAGGATGATAAAAGTCCTGTGTGTTAGGGTTTTATAATGCCCTCAAAGGCAGACCAGATACCTAGCCTATCGTGCTGTGAAAAACAACGGTCTATCAACGGCCGGAAAGATGGGGTACATTATTGGAGACCGACTATAAAGGATGATGAATAGACTTCTGTAGTTTGTTTTGTGTGAGTTGCATCATTATTTGAAATAAGGGTGCTAATGGGGTCTGAATAACTGCCTCTTTCTGTTGAGCTCACTCTAGAACCTACATTTCGTATTTAGATCTATAAGTGAACTGTTGGTCTGAGTTCCTCTGGTATATTAAATTAGAGGATGTTCCTGAATATACAGTCCAACAGCACGTCATGTTGTGAACAACTTCATTAAAAGTTATTCAGCAGTGCTCCCATTTAATTTACAACAACCTAATGCCTACGAGATTGTGCCGAAGATATGCCGAAGGTGTACCGATGAATGAGCCCAAGCTGTGCCGAATCTAATTTCGGCACAATTTTCTGAGCGGGTAAGTCACTGGGTGTCCCCTTTAAGACGTAAGACCAAATATAATATAAAGGCCTTCAATTGGGTCAGGAAAATGGCAAGTAGAAAGCATCAGCTGACTTTCATTTGTGTTTTTCATGGCTTTTACGAAACTGTTTTATTGTCTTATCAAGTAGCACTTCTAGCATAGCATCAGAAATCAAAATCCTGCATGATAAGTCCTAGAATTGGATTCAGAATTCCAAGAAAATCTCAAAATAAAATGAAAAAGTGCGTCCTACCCCGAGGGTACGTTATGTACCGTTCTCCCCTACCTGGTGTAACATGCACCAAGATGCACTTCCTTCGTTTTAAGCCGAAAACACACTTTTGCAACAAAATTGTTACCCTACGATTTAAATCTATGTTCGCTTAGCATATATATATATATATATATATCAACTTGGTAGCTCTATTTATCAGATAATTTAAATAAAAACAAAAACCAGTTTGCATTGGATATAGTGTAATTTTTACCCTCCGCTTTGTTAATATTTTTTTTAGAAATTCAAATATTATTAAGCTTTGGTGAAAGATATTACCCATTTGATTGAGATAAGAGCTACATCTTTCTGATAAAATACTGGTAAGTTTTAATATGCACTTCTATTGAATGATCAAAAACATTTGCTTTATGCATTCGGAAAAAATGCACTCCTAAGTTCGGGTCAAATTGATTCTTCAGTAAACAAGTTTTTTTTACGTTCTTGAAATGGTCCGCAATGTTCCGTAGTCTATTTAGCGGTCATGGACCTTTAAACAACTAGGATCGAAACTGGAGGCTGTCAAAAACGAAGACGTTCTTCTCCCTCAATTGGTCATCATCATTTTTAAGATGGCAAGGTGAGTGTTGCCCCATTATTGTAACGCATTTTTTCCCATTGTTGGAGTGTATTTTGCTTCATTATTATGGTGCGTCTTGCCCCTTTGTTGTAGTGAATTTTACCCCAGCATAGGTGCATTTTGCCCCGATTAGTGGTATTTGTAGATTATTGTATCAATTTCTAAAATCACTTTTTAAGGATTTTTTTTCAAATTGTCCATGTATGTTGCGAATATAACAACTAAATAATGCTTAAGAGAATTTAGGCAATACATGTTCACTGTTGCTTGTAATTTTTTTTATTTGTATTATAGACCCTTTTTGGGTTTATTCGGGTCTTTCTACACTAATTACAATAAATTGGTTTCACTAATTCTAGTTTGTCTTCTTCGATGGTGTTTGGCTCGTTCCCTTTGATGCATCGTTTCGTCTTGATTCGGCGTTCATCCTGGCGGTCATCTTGATGTCTTAGACTTGTTGGATGGCGGCCACGGAGCGGGCTGTTTTAAATGCTTGCTTCTTGCAGAACCTCCATGCAGTGTTGGAAAAGTTCGCGATATTTAACGAAGTTCACCATGGGAAAAGTTCGCGAGTCATAGTGAGTTATCGCGAACTTTTCCATCACTGCCTCCATGCCAATTTTATAATTTTCAGCATAATGAGCGCTAGTACTGCTACCATTATTACAAGGAGTTTCCACTCGTGCTGAGAGTGGAACTCCGTGTGAATTTCCTGGTTTTTAATAAAAGTGATCTGTTGGTCTCCAATTTGTTTTACTTCCTGGTCCTTGGAGTCGAAATTTCCCATGATTAGTACTGGTAATAGGTTGGTCTTGGCTAATGTGCTAGTGACTGTTGAGCTGCAGTTTCCACGTTTTATATCTCATGTTTGGTATTTTTGATTTTTCATATTTCATCGATCAGCTCAATTTCTTTGAAGAATTTAAGCACTTTTTTGCTCGTGTGATGTCGCCAACTAAAGCTTCCCTCATGTTGGGTTGGAGGCCAATTTTTTCTCTTACATCATCATACCCGTGGCAGTTGACAATGATGTGTTTTACACTGAGTGCTTGGTAGCATTTTTTGCACTTAGGTGAGTCGGTTTTGTCAAGTAGGTGTGAGTGTGTCAGTTGGGTATGACCTATCCGGAGTCTAGCAAGTATAACAAACTCTCTGCGGTTTCCTGTGACAGCCTCTCTGAATGGTGCGTCTGAATTTTTCATTTCTCTTAGTTTGTTGTTATTGGTAGCGTTCCATTCGACCTTCCATTTGGTCTTACTGGTTTTAATAATGGTTTTTATTTCACGCTGGTCACGATGCCTTGAAAGCCTTGCCATAATAGAGGCTCTCAGATGGATTGCATGATTGAGAGTAGGTGCATATATTATATGCAGTGACTCTCTAAGCGTGATTGCAACATTAGAAAAAAGAACATTTAAACTGTTCTTAAGGATGAAATTATACAACTGTGCAGTGAAATTCGGTCATTTTTTTTTCATTAACTTATGCCTAGTTTTTCAAAATGGCGTATTCGATATTTTTCAATAAATCATATCATGCAAACAGCTCATCTAATCGAAATGACATCTGAGACAAAGTTGTATGAAATTGGATTTACTTTTCAGAAAATAATATAAAAAATTTCGCCAAAAATTAACAGCAAAAATGCCTATTTAAGATTTTTAAACTT